TTAATACAAATTTATAATCATTCATTTAAAAATTTGATATATCTTACATCATATAACCTTATATTAATTTATCAAATATTGCGCCTAAAATATGTAAAAATTTTTTTCTTAAAATTAAATATAATCTTTATAACTGAATAATAATTATCTCATTAGTAATCTCCATAATTGAATAATAATTATCTCATTAAGCTTTTGAATTAATTAATGCATCCCATCATTACCTGATCATCAACAATTTCCTCCGAAATATCTTCACCAGCATCTTGCAATATTAAATCTATCACTGTCATATAATTATGCTCATTCATATCACATTTAAATTTTAATGCTTGCACAAGCTCCGAAACAATTGCTTTTGTCAAATATTGTTTATCACGATCCTATAAAAAATTTTTCTCCTTAAAGTTTTAAAAATATGCATAATTAGTCTTGCTAAAAATTAAAACAAATTGATAATTGATAAAAGAATATGCATACAAAAGAAATAAAGGCAAAGAATTGAGTAGAATAATATTTTAAAAAATTAAATCGAAAAAAAAATTTACCCTTAATAAAGCACGATTACATGCCGTACAAACAGCGAGAAGATCTAATAAATCAGCTTTACATTCATGTAATGCTTCCGTAAGCCATCTGGAAAATCCTTCTACCAGTGATATTGAATTCTGCAATAATTACTGAATTAATGAAATTAAATTCAAATTTCAGATCTTTTTTCTTTCATTCAATTCCTTTAATTCACATGCTAATACTATAATAAAAGAGAAATTAAAGAAAATTTGAACCTTAAACGTAGAAAAATTATGCAATCGTAAAACAGCTACCATTATGCCAATACAATTTTTGAGTTCAGTACGAATCGGATTTCTATCAGTTTGTCCTTGGATCTATAAGTTATCAATTTCAAAAAGACGATTATTAAATTAATTCAGAGATGTGTTAATTAGACCATGTCAAATTGTTGTAAAAGTTAAAGCAAAAGAAAAAAAATTGAAACAATCAGACCGCAACAATCAAATTATTCATTTTATCATCGATAAAAGAGATAAAATGATAACGTTACAGCGATAACGTTGAAGTAGAAAGAAAAAGTGAAACATAAACAAAATGAGAACGAAATTGATGCATTATTAATTTGCCTAAAAGAGAAAATTTTTTGGGTAAGAAAGTAAAAATGAACTAACTTTAGAAAGATATTGGCTAAAGAATGAATCGAGTAAATTAGTAACGATACTCCAATGTGAGAAATATGCATCAGGCGATACATATTTCACATATGTTGACAAATTAAATAAAATTCGAGACAATCGATTAGGCCAATCTTCCAGGATATCCTCAAATAATTTCCTTTTCAATTCTTTCTTTTTGCATTATCATTATTGATATTATTGTTATTCATTATTGCTGTTATCATTTACTCATTATTACTATCAATTATAGTATCATATTTTACCAAATTTATATGATTGAATCATTGTTCCAAAATTTCACTTTATTACGTCAATTTTTATGAATTGATAGAAAATTATATTTCAAAATTTGAAAAGCTAGTGAAAAAAATAAGAGGCTAACTTCAAGCAAATATTGAATAACAGAAACTGGATTTAATTCAGGAAAATCAGCTAAAGCAAATGATATTGTAGACCAGAACTGATTGACTCGTTCAATATTTGTATCAAATAATTGTAGAAATATTCCACTTGATGAAAGCTAAAAAAATATTTTATACGTACGTATGTTATTAAAATTTTGTTAATCGTATATAAAAAAGAAATGGAAAATTTTTTAATTATGAGAAAAAAAAAAATCAAAAAATTATTTCTAAGTACAACAAAAAATAAATCAGGCAAACTTGATGTAGTAAAACACGAATTAATTGTTTTGCAACACTGCGACAATTTCCCGCAACAAACATCGGTGTGTCGTGCCACGGATAGAACGGTCTTTCAATCAATCTGAATATTATAAATTCATCACACAAATACTTATCATCTAATATAATCATCATCTAATTATAATTATTATCTAATCACAATCATCATCTAATTATAATTATTATCTAATCACAATCATCATCTAATTATAATTATTATCTAATCACAATCATCATCTAATTATAATTATCTAATCATAATCATCATCTAATTATAATTATTATCTAATCATAATCATCATCTAATCATAATCATCATCTAATCATAATCATCATC